CGTCAAAGGGTCCAAGTTGAGCTTCCGAGAAAGAATAAAAGCATCAGGCAATGTTATCGCTGCTATGAGTTCGACCACACAAAAAACTATTGCCTCAAAAAGCCCATATGTGGACGGTGCGGCCAACCCCACTGGACCAACTCGGAGCAATGTCAGGCCAAAACGGTGGCAGACCTGCGATGCTCAAACTGTGATGGGAACCATGCTGCTTATTATAAAGGATGCAAAGCATTCCAGCAGCGCTTGAATGCCCGACAACCGGCCATCAATGTTGCCCTCCCGGCACGACACAACCAACAGGAACCTGCATGGCGCATCAACTCGCAGTTCGTACCCTCCCGAATTGTGCAACAAGGCCTGTCGTATGCTGACGCGTTGCGGCCAGGACGCAACACGTACCAGCAAAATGCACAAGCGTGCCAACCCCCTGTGTGCAATCAGCCCACCGCTACAACAATGCAGCCCCAATACCTCCAGCATGGATCTCAGGGGCAAGACACGTCCCTCGGAAGTATCCTTCAAGGACTCCAGCAGTCGATCGCAGCACTGAATGCAGCAGTCACAAGTATCCTGGTCAGCATCAAGGAGCTGAAGGACGCGCAAGCTCCACAGCTCGGTCTTCCCACTCACCGCAAATAATGGCTGCCCAGATGCGCCTCGGATCGTGGAACGCTCGCAGCATCTTACAAAATGCAAACGAGCTCAAACTGTTTTTAAGAAAACATGAAATAGACATCATGCTTGTCTCAGAAACCCACCTACACGCCGGCCTGTACTTCGCCATGGAGGGATATGTTTGCTACCGTGCGGATCACCCAGCAAATCGAGCCAGAGGAGGTGCTGCGGTGCTTGTCAAGCAGAACTTGGTGCACTACCAACTATCTCAGGTGACTTCCAGCGCAACACAAATGGCTGCTATTATGGTGGGGACTCCTTTGGGCGAAATACCTGTAGCTGCAGTGTACTTACCACCAAATCTATCCTGGAGCCGAGCTGGATTCGATTCTCTCCTTGATCAATTTGGTCATAAATTCATCGTTGGAGGTGACTTCAACGCCAAACACCGGCTGTGGGGAAGCTACAGAGCTGACAACAGAGGCATTGCGCTACATGAAGCGCTCACCAGCTGCTCAGCCCAGGTCTTGGCCACCGGGAGACCTACCCACTTCCCGTATAACAGGCAAAGTACTCCTTCGTGCATTGACTTCTATATATACAAGGGTATTCCCAACAGCTTAATATCAGTTCGCGAAGAGTATGAGCTTTCATCTGACCATCTACCCTTACTTGCAACGGTATCTACGTCTGCTCAAAGGACTGTAAAAAAGCGAAGGCTTGTCACCCCCCAGTCGAACATACAACGCTTCAAAGCTGAACTGAATGGCATGATTGATCTAAGCATGCCAATCTTGACAGCCGAGGATGCCGACGCTGCAGTTCAAACCCTGCTGTATCAAATACATACCGCGGCTGCCAACGCTGCGCCAGCACAAATGTATTTTACGCCTACAAGCCAACCTACGAGGACGCTTCCCCCCATCGTTGAAGGCCTTCTTTGCCTGAAAAAGCGGCTGAGGAGGGAGTACGTCCGGACCCAGGACCCCAGAATCGATAGGATCTATCGCCGTATCGCCAACAGAGTCAGAAAGGAGTTGACCTTACTGAGAAGAAAAGCCACAGACACCATGCTGGAGGAAGCAACGGCAGACGAGAGCTCCAAATTCGCACTGTGGAAACTTACCAGTCGATACAAGCGGCAACCTGCACCAAAGTTTCCCATTCGACATCCCGATGGCACCTGGGCCAGGTCGCCAATGGAAAGAGCCGAAGCCTTCGCCTGTAACCTGGAGGAGCGTTTCAACCCGTTTGAGACCGCATCGCATAGAAGGATACAGCGAGTCGCGCAAATCCTGGAAGCGCCGCTACAAACGGCACTCCCTTTATCACCAATCACCTTCCAAGAAGTAAAGCAGGAGATAAAGAGCCTAAAAAACAACAAAGCCCCTGGGGAAGATCGGTTGGACAACCAGACAATTAAGCTATTGCCATACAAGGCGGTGCTTTTTCTCGTAGCCATTTTTAATGCAACTCTTCGGCTAGGTCATTTTCCAGTAGCCTGGAAGAAGGCGCACATCATTATGTTGCACAAGAGCGGAAAATCCCCTAATCAACTGGACTCTTATCGCCCCATCAGCCTCCTGCCTACCTTTGGCAAGATACTGGAAAGGTGCATCCTTAGAAGGATCCTGGATACTCCGGAAATAAAACGCTTAATCCCGAAGTTCCAGTTTGGGTTTAGACTGAAACACGGTACCCCTGAGCAACTCCATCGGGTCACAAATTTTATTTTGGACGGCTTTAACAGGAAGGAGTATGTGGTGGCAGCATACCTCGACATCCAACAAGCTTTTGACCGGGTGTGGCACGCAGGACTCCTCTCCAAGATTAAGGGCAAATTGAATCCGCAGCTCTTTAACATCATTGCGAGCTTCTTGAACGAGAGGACATTTAGAGTGGTACAGGATGGAGTAGCCTCTCAAACCAAACGCATAAAAGCGGGCGTACCACAAGGCAGCGTCTTGGGTCCCACGCTATATAGCCTGTTTACACATGACATGCCCACAGCAAATGCAAGCAGACGGAATGATCGGCAGGACCTTCTGGTGGCCACGTTTGCTGACGACACGGCAATCCTTGCAAAAAACAAATGTGTGTACGTGGCAACTGACCTCTTGCAGGAATACCTCAAGCGATTTGAAAACTGGGCTTGTAGATGGAACATCGCAGTGAACCCTGGAAAATGCGCCACGGTTACCCACACTCTACGCAAGGACTCATGCCCCGGACTTTTTCTTCATGGTGAGCTTCTAGAGCAATATCGTCAACACAAGTACCTAGGTGTCACTCTCGACAGACGACTTACATTTAGTAAGCACGTCTCTGCAGTAACGAGCAACATCAAATCTAAGATAAGGCGAATGAGCTGGCTCCTCAACTCCAAAAACAAACTCTCGCTCCGAAACAAGGTCCTAATCTACAAGGTAATCCTTGCCCCAGTGTGGCGTTACGGGCTTCAAGTTTACGGTATAGCTGCAAAAACACACCTGAACAAAATTCGCATCATTCAGGCCAAACCCCTGCGCAAAATAACTGGAGCCGAATGGTATATTCGAACACGAGACATTGCAAAGGACCTTAAGGTTACTATGATAGGAGACCTTATTAATCAACAAACAGCAAGTCACTTATGTAAGCTCCGCAACCACCCTAACGTCTTGGCAAGAAACCTGCTAAGGAGACGAAGAAGGAGGCTTAAAAAGTGTTATCCTATAGACCTGGCCAAACGCCGACTATAATGAAGCAAAATTAACATGTACATATATATACACATTGTAAATATTTAACTTAAGCTTTCATTACCCAAAACTCACGCTGATAAAAGTTGCTAAAAGTGAAAAGTAACAGAAAATTAGCAAAAATAAAAGTAACTTAAACAACAAAAAAAAAAAAAAAAAAAAAAAAAAAAAAAAAAAAACAACATTGTAAACAATTCTATCAACGGCTTACCTATCATTGCTTTATCAGCCTGCGGTACTCTATTTACCGAGTACTTCACATTGACAGCTGTAGCTGGACTCGTGCAATAAAGAATTTGATAAATTTATCGTAGCCACGTGGAGATCAAATTGCAATTTTCCAACAGCTGTCCAAAAAAATTAGCCTTTATTTCAAAAAAATAACAGCGGATATTAGGCCAACATTATTTCCGCTCATTTTAATATCAAGCGCGTGGGAGACACAGTACAAATTCAAAAGATAAACACACAAATCAAAATCATGCTAAGCCAAAGGAAAGTGAAACCCGAATAGGAAAGAGATTTTCAAAAATTCAAACATTCTTGGCATTTTTGGGGTAATTTCTGTAACAAATTTTATGATGGAGGGGAGAGCTTATAAAGGAAGCACGTGCTGCGAGTTTTCATGATATTGTTAAAAAAAACACCGCAAAATCTTATTAAAAAATTAAACGACTTATTTGGTTTCTGTTTTTTTCCTTTTCGGTAGCATTAGCGAGCCTCAAAGACAGAAAAGGTTTTTGGTATTGGGGGTGTAACAAATGCATTGGGCATTATTACGAGCAACTGCAATTATTGTTGGTAATAAACATAGAAACAAGTAAAAACTTGCAGTGGGGTGTAACAGACCGCGCTATACTCTTTCTCGGTGTAATAACAGCTTAAGTCAGTGGCAGAGAGTCTCGTTGACTTTTACCATTATGTATTGACTTTGAGACTTTGGGAATTATTGTTTTTTGGAATAAGCAAAGGGGCGAATGGGAAAGGCAGCATCAGTTTAGCTTTAATTTTTCAATATTGGTGAGACTAGATCTAATAGAATGTGTCCATTTCTAGAACGAATGCCCTTGAATAGTCAACCAGCAGAAGATACGACAGATATCAATATATGTTAAGCGTCAAAAGCCGTGAAAGTACGGACAGTCGCGCGGGCGGTCGTTTGAATGGCTGGGGATTGCACGAAAGCACTCTCTTTCACTTTGTGAACAGTGTATAATGAAAAGAACATAAAAAACAGGCGCTTACAGCGAAATGGCATTTAGCCAGGTAACCCACTGTGCACAGTAGGCAAAGCTACGCAGGGTGGGGAACAACGACTAATGCACAAAGGAAATTATAATAAGCGCAGCATTTCCTTGTACGATTCCCCCAAATAAGAGGAAAATAAGAGACGCCGCAAAGTAAGTAATGTAAATCGTCTGACGGCCCTTGGTTTGTCATGTTGCGCCCATTCCCGGCATTTATCGGACTTATATAAAGGCTTTTACTCGAAGGAGTCTCGTGTTTCGTTTTATTATTATACAGCAGTCAGTAGGTGGTCAAGGCGGTTGGAGCCATATTTTTTACAAGACTTGTCATATTGCAACGACTTCTCGCCTGGCTTATTATTATTTTGTTATTTAGCTTTTTTATTTTCTTCTTCAGGGTCGCTTCATATTGTACACTACCTTCCATAAATGGATTACGGCAATTAGAGTGTGTATCTGGATGCATGACGGGTAGGGTAAGTACCTAGCGAAAATTGCGTTGTACTACTCGACTGTTGATACTAATCAAGAATATTTATACTAAATGTAACCCCATATTGGGTTTTTATACATACATTGTACGGTTATAGGGGATATGGGAAGCATTCCCTTTCACTTAACTTGACAATAATTCGATAAACATTGGAGTATTTTTTTTCTATTGCAAATACTTCCATTGATCAGACTTACATAAAAATTTTGATCAAGCTTTAATCCGAACGCATGAAAAATGAGAAAATAAGATATTCTCGGCACACCGAATAATGCCAATTGTATACATTTGACTTACGGCTTTGCAGATTTGTGAGAATAGTAAAGCACGCAAGTGCTGAGTGAGAAAATATAATTTTTTGCCATATAGAGAGCATTATAATATAGCTCATATGTATGTATGCAGCATAGTAACTAGTAAATGCCTCGTTTTCTTTATATAAAAAAAAGTGTTCTATGCAAGACCTACGCTTTGATTAACATTCTTTTACATTTCTCTAGTCTTCGATTTCTTGGTAGTCATTCGAAAACTAATTAAACAGCAGCCAATCATCATTAGGCAATGCTACAAAATATACTAAATGATTCGGTTGAGTTGTAAAAACGGATTTCACAGATACCAGCAATAAATTATTTGTAGATTGCATGGACAAACACAAGATTAAACAGTTGCAGTTGGACTCTACCGACTGCGTAATACTCTATTTCTGGCTTTTAACAAGAGTAGGAGAAAGAAGCTCCTCTTACTGTGGGCGTGGCAATGGATCCTTGTTGTTAATTCGCCATCGACCGACAATCATTAGCAATCCAACATCTTGAACTATGCGATCGCCAATACTTACTTTGATAGACATCGAGATTAAGGTTAGGGAATTAGATTCAAAGAGATTGACAGACAGACAGACACGAAACCGATATACTGTTCTTAGCTGGGTACACAGTATCATAACAAATTTGAATCTATACAAATATGTACCGTGAAATTAAACAAATAATGTTTCAAGAAAGTAGGCGAATCAACTAGAAAAACTCGAAACAACCTGGAGGTTATTAATGATCTGATGTATCAATCCCCTTTTAGGCCAGCATACGTAAAATAGCTGTTAGCATACCTGGCAAACGTGTGTGCTTTCTTCTTTCTTTTTGCCGTTTCCATAGCCATAGTTCATTCTTGTTTATATATATGTTACATATATGTACGTGGTGCGGATGTAATTAATTTTCGTTATAGTTGTATGAAAATATTTGCAATGCGACTGTAAACTCTGCGAATACTTTGAAGTGCACAAAATGCCAAGCCGAAACAAAAATTCATCGAGTATTTCGTTGTTGAACAGAATAGTTTGCAATTGGGTTTGTGCCACACAGCTACCCATCAAAGACATTTAAATATTTTGCGGTTTATTCTGCATGCCTCAGCCAGGACAGTGCTCCCAGGGCCATAGCTGCTGCCGGGACAGGACATGTGGACAAAAGTGTTGTCTGCAGCTCGTTGAGTGCTGGGCACATGCGACATTCTTTTTTATGCCACACTCAAACTAATGTGAGATTTATGCTGGAATCATGCAAAAGCCGCCCTTGCTTGACATTTATAAAATTTGTGCGGAATTTTAGACGAGCCACTTGAAAGCCGCATATCCCGAGCACCGAAACAAGAACGCGTCTGCTTCAGCAGCAGCAGTCATTCCCGTAGTAGTCCCGTGTAGTCGTGGTAGTTAGTATTATGATCAAATTATGGGCGTATGTGTGCTCGCTCGGCTTCTTTTTAAGCTACTTTTAAGTTTTAATTTATATGCAAATAAGCTGCCTGTCGACGCTGTTTTGTGGTTCGTCAGCCAGTTTTGCAGTTCAGCCAGAAACGCAAACTACAAGCACAAAGCTGCAAATAATGACACTTTGAGCGAAATTTGATGACAATTGCAATCTATTTGCAGCTGCCCACTGCGTGCTACACGTTGACAAATAAGCTGGTGGGGATTTATTGATCAGTTACGAGGTATTAATCAAATTCATATTTTGTTAGTCATATATTGTTATATTATATGTCGCAATAATACACAAATAGTTTCAGAAATATGTTCACTCAAAGCATATATTTAAACTCACATACGCTTGTCAAATCAAACGAAAACTGGCATTAACGAGCTTCACATAATTCCTGAATACAATTTTAATAAATGCCGGTTAATGCTCGCTAGTTACTTACATATTTAAATTACTTACATATTTAAAATTTTCGAATCAACTTCTTTGAGCAAGGTTACGAATTGAGATCATTATTGTGGTACATATAAAAAGGTAGAAAACGTGAAAGGAAGATACCCTTTAGAAATGTAAACAAACTGTGCAGCAAACGTCCCTGGGTTCACACCAATACCCTTTAATTTGTAATAATTCTTTGAGTTATTAAAATCTATCATATGCAATATTTGATTTTATGTAGTGCTTACTTTAGTTTTAAGCTTACCCAAATAAAATTGATTAAAATAGAGGGATTATAATATTCTGAAACCTTGTTGACCGTACCCACACCACCTGAAACACCTGCCAATTATGCAACCCCAACGCTCCAAACTCAACAAAACACATATTATCAGACTGCCAACACTTTCGCAGACGCAGACAAAAACATTTTCCAATAACGACCCATTTTCAACCCTTTTAAAGTGAACCAAAAAAAACTATTCAAAATTCATAAATCATTAAGCATGTTATACGAACTATACCAAAGGTAAGCACGCACAAATTTCATAATATAAACATGAACTCATAAACACTGAATGTTAAATTCCATTAATTATTATCATCATCTACATTCTTACTAATTTTTTATATGCATAGCACAAGTTAATGCTTACAAGCACTTTAATTTATCTGCAATTTTAATTGCATCCAAGCAATTGAAAAATAGTTTTAAGAAAATGAATGACAATCTGAAATAATATTTTAAATTTGGTGCTTGAGATTCGGATTAAGAATTCACATTCTGTATTAAGTGGAAAATGTCTGGTTCTGATACCCATTTAATGAAAGCCAATTATTACCAAGCGAAATTGACGCTTTGGAGGAGCAGCCAAAATCCATTGATCAACAATATTGATGATCATTTTGGCGTTCAGCAGAGCGAAGTTGTCTTGAGGCAGCTGCCGAAAAAAAGAAACTATCGTTTTTTTTTTTATTATTTACTAATAATTAAATGTTCAGGCTGGGAATACGTGCAAGCTGCCAAACAGATAAACAAGAACAGGAGAAAAAAAAAACGAATATGGTGCTAAATGAGAGCTTTGCCAGTGGTTTTATTTGACTGGGGCTGTCTACTTATTAGCCGCAAACGGCAGTTGGCAATCATAATCACAATCGTACTCGTAATCGTACATGTAATCGACAATCGTCATAATTTATGGGGCCTGCCTGGCGGACCCCATCAAAAAGCCACAACAAAATTGATAAAAAGAGAGAGAGAGAGAGAGGGGGGAACACAAAAGGACAGTCGGCAAACAACAGGCAACAGTTGTATTGGACAAAAAACTAATGGAAACGAAGCCCAGTGGCAATTGGGAATCGAAAATTGGCAAAGGCCGACAGCAAAGCGGGAGCTGGCGACAACAACAAACTGAAAGCAATGCTCGACAGCTGCCAGCATTCACACGTCATTTAATTTCGATTAGTCGACAGACAAACGACCCAAACAGCAAATAATGCGAACAACATTTGTCGTGCAATTGGAAAGCGCGGCAAATTCTCGTAATATCGGCCAAGAGACACCTGACCTGATCCAGAGCATAATTGTCGCCTTTCAAAATGTACAAAATGCCTAATTGGCACCTGAGGGCGCGTGCATCATGCGACAGGGGATAAATCAACAGGATGGGAGCTTTCAGTAAGTGCCCTCTAATAGCCGGCTTGCATTCTGACTTCTGGCAGGTTCATATTTGCCAGTTTCCACATTCGTTCCCATGCCTGGGTCACTAATTTCTTGATTGATTATAGCCAACTCTCGGTGGCGGGCTTAATTAAATAAATACATTAGCCAGACCTTAGTTCGAGCTATTTCTCGCTATGCTAGCCGACTGATTGAGTCTTAGTTAAGATTTAGCCTCTGGGATTTAGATATGTTCATAATGACAGGCCCAGCGATAAGTGTGAGAACTGGATTCCCAAACATTACGTGAGGAACAACTGTCCCAACTAAGATTTGAAATAGGATTGTGTCTCCCCTTATACATTCAACAGCATTTTAAATATTTATGATTAGCATGGCATTCGTATTGTAATTGCCTTCAAGAGACAAGCTGATCTAGTCAAATTCCTGCCTGTCCCCATTGTCTAACTCTTCCGACTAGTCCCGTTTAAGAGTCTATAGACTTAGGAACAAGACTTTTGCCCAGAAAAAAGGATATAAATAAAACGTTTAACACGCAACGAACAATAACAACAAAAGAAGCAGCTACGTTAACGTTAACGTTAACACAGGGGGCTATGTTTTTTGTGTAGCGGCCGCTTTGTAAATGATTATTAGTCCAGTTGCCGACAGGCCCTGAACGCATCCGAGGTATCCGAACACTGGAGGTAGTTACTTGCCCGGAGCGTCGCGTCGCAGCGATAGCAGCAGGACATGTTGCTTGGGGTCGTCGAGGGTCGTGTTGCATGCCTATGTGTTTCGCGTTGAGTAGTGAACGGGGTTCAGGTACAAGTCGGCCTTACACGAAAATAGCTGGCATTCCTTTTGAAGTTTACGCACAAATATGCCCCCATACCCGCTCCCATACCCGTTGCCCTCCCCATCCATGTTGCCCAGCAGCGTGCCAGGCAGCCAACAGGATAATAATTAACGCAATAATCATCGATGAATGAATATGAGTGAGCAGCGAGCGGGCAGCGAGAGATGACCTGTTTGGCATGGCATGGCGAGTGCGCTTAACCCGCTGCCAGCTAGCCGTGTGCCCGGATGTCCAATGCCATGAAAGGTGCCCAGATGCCTGTC